AAAAAAAAAAAAAAAAGAAAAGAAAGATATTTCCATACTCCATTCAAGACACGTGTTTTATAAAACAGGTAACGTCTATTTCTTTATAAAAACGGCCAACGCCTTAGAGAGAGAGAGAGAGAGAGAGAAGAGAGAGAGAGAGAGAGAGAGAGAGAGAGAGAACACTATGAATAATGGTACGTAATATCACGTGGTTTTGCAGACTCCCATGGGTATTTTCATGCGCAGTAAACTTTTCAAGCTGTACTCTTTGGCCTTAAACCCCATTCCGAATTAAACTTCTCTACACACACGTGTGTTGAAAGAAAATAAAAATGCGCACCATGTGGATTAGCTATGTGGTCGGCGAGAAGTCAGTCAACTGATACATAACATTTGATTTCACGTGAATTACAGGTTTGCATTAAGCCCTCGTTACGGACAGGTGTTATCGCACCAATCTAGAGCTTACATTTGCTCCAGCACATTGAACTGAATATGAAGTGACCAGAGCGAATTTAGATATCACTTTAACACTGTTTACTTATGCACAATGTGTGCTCCACCTAGTTTTATAATTTTTTTCAATCTAAAATGTTTTCCAGATTTTTAAGCCTACATATTTTATTATACGAAGTAATGCTTTATGATAATCGCTTTAAATTGATACTATGAATTCGTCCAAAACGTGTTTCTGAGCGCGTTTGTGTTAGTGACAGAGAGAGAAAGAGAAACAGAGAGAGTGTATGTGAGAGAGAGAGTTAATGTACACGTAGCTTTCATATTTTGCTTAGTGAGCTATTTTTTGGATTCTCTGTTTTTTCAGTGATTGATAGTTTTCAGAGGTCGACGCATCCGCGTGTTATCTTTCACCTGTATATTTAGCTGGAAGAGCAACCGACCCTGAACGAATAACTGAACGATAAGCTGTCGCTTTCCTATCCGACGTACATGTAGGAAAAAAGCGCTTTTTGCACTTATAGGAAAAGGCCTATGCATTTCTGAACAAAATATAATTCTCTTCAATGATTATCAACCTTTTATTTTCCATACAAACAATGTAGCAAACGGCACTCATTCACTAACAACGGATTAAATCCATACCTACCCTTAGTATCATGCAAGTGTGTGTGTGTGTGTGTGTGTGCGTGTGTGTGTGTGTGTGTGCGTGTGTGTGTGTGTGTGTGTGTGTGCGTGCGTGCTCGTGTGTAGTGGACAGCTTTTATTATTTTAATCATTAAATTTATTGGCTCCATGTATAATTTCTGGTAAAGAAAAATGATATTAGTTTGTGCACAGCCAACAGCAACAAGTTAAGGATGGGAACCGTGAAAAAAGGGCAAAGTAGCAACAACTGAAAATTTTCTCCTCTCCTCCGTTTTTCTTTCTCTCACTTTTCATTTTTTTTTTTGCCAATTTAGGACAAGCTTTTCCAATCCTGCACTCGACCTCTGCCCGCTAAAAAGATCAAACCCTGCACTCGCCAGTAATATCGCTACTTATGTTGAACCTTCAATCGTTGTTCACAGGTCCTAACCCTTCCTAATATCAGCACGTTTCATATGTGACCTTACCCTCGCTACAACATGTGTTACCAGAGGTAGCAGGTGTTCAGGGCTCATATGAACATCAAAATAATTCACGCCAGCACAAAGGTGTTGGATTGAACGTGGCAATGCACGCCGAGTTTCGCTGCCAAGGAGGCGGTGCAGTGTAGCGGTGGCTTTGAAACACCTTGTAATTTAACAGTGCTCATTTCGTACAATGTACCGGTTACTTACCAACTATAGACTTGAATTTACCTAGAGATAAAAACCGTAATTGTTAAGACATGGTGTGCACTGTTCAGTGTTTGAAATGTATTGGAAGTTAAAAGTTAATACGAAACGTAAAAATATTTCATAGGAAATCATATTGGAACTGTAGTTTTCGGTAGACAGGTATTTTATAGAACTATAACGTACGGGTCGCTGCCAAGTTGGGAAGGCAATTACCCAGTTGGTAGTCTTGCTGATCATTAGCAGATCTCAAACATGTCAAAATATCTCGTAAATTGTTGCGGTGAGATGATGTTCCACGTGCGAAAAGAGAATCATTTCTCTTTTTTTATGTAAGTCCGTTCTCAGGGTTAGAACGACAGCCAGATCAACAACCAGTTCATAGAACCGATGCAAGCACAACCTCCGGTCTCTCTCTCTCTCTCTCTCAGTGTTAAGGCTTTCAAGGTTTTATACAAAGAGAGATGGGGGAAGGGCAACAAAATTCACGTTAAATCATCTGGTCCAAAATAGTTTCAAAATTCTTTACCACACAGCGAGGAACTCAAACATTCGTGAGGAAGGTATCATCTTTGAAGACCGTAAACGTGATTTCGTTGGTCTAAAGAATGAAGGTGGAGCATGCTACTCTGACAGTCTTATTCTTTACTAAGTTATCCAAGCTGTCAAAACAGTTGTTGCCAGGATTACTAGGGAGGGTGATCAGCGTCCTTATCGGGCGCTTTGCCAGTCACATGGATGCAGTGCACTTGTTATAAATACATGCACTTGCCAAGGTGTTCGCAAAGTCATTGCCTATATATCGACAGAATGGTGGTAATATTTTTATGATAATAAATAACCGTTGATATTATTTCTACCATACTGTTTACAAACTTCTACAAACTATTAACAATTATACATGTATTTTGCAATAGGGACATGTTCTTATCTTTTTCATCATAAGTGGTCCAGCTAAAGTATGATGCCAAAATAGCCGAGATGAAATCCGTGCGGTACCTATGACCAAACCTAAGCCCAAAGAACTCCATTTAGTCCAGTTGTTCAGAGAGTTGGAGAGATCCTACAGAGCAGACTGCCAAGGTATCCTATTGGCCAATACATACAACTGACCGCTTCCTGTCAAGGTACCCTACTGGTCAATACATACCAGTGGCGGATTTAGAGGGAAGGGGGGGGGGGGTCAGGGGGGTTCTGACCCCCCTCCTTCAGTTTCTGAAAGATATATCACACCAATGGTCCCGTTTTGAAATTAGAATTTTGACTAACTGAATCAGTACCAAAACAGTACCAAACAGTACCAAACAGTACCAAAGATCATCGTTTGCCCCCCAAAACACCAAAAAAATTTTCGGGGCTCTT